AACTCTCTTGTATGTTGTATCCCTTTTCTACCAGTTCTTCACCGCATTAGACTGTTGAGATCATTGAGAGTGATGCTATTGTTTCCTACATAGTTCCTCTATGCCACCCAGAAGAAAACAAACTAATTCAAAGCAACAATACATTAAGGAATAGCTCCCAAGTTCTGCTTTTCATTGTTAACTGTAGTTCATTTCAGACTATGAATTTATTTGTACCAGAACTGATTTGCTTGGGCATGGAGTAAAGCCATGCAACTTCAGTCCTGCAGGAAAAAAGTAAAAGGTTGAATTTTCTTCTCCAATCTCACATATCTGAAGAAAGACTATGATTCTAACTCTGCATAGTTAGGCTAATAAATTTTCTCATAGAGTGAGACAATAGGAACTGTGAGCATACTGTACAGCACAATAAGTGTTGGCACATGAACTATTTCAGTCTTGAGGGACAGTGTTTCACAGTATATCAGTGACAGAAGATCAGCTTGCAGCCAGAATTATGAATGAAAAGTTTAAGCCTTTGTGAAAGTATTGACTTGGAATGATACTTCTGCAGTCACCTCAAAAATTGATGCATTGAATTATTTTGGGGAATATGGCATTTAACACTTCATTTTTCTAAAACTGCTGTGCACACAAATTCATTAGTTTAACCTAAGACATGATGATTAAAAAAGGTGTTGTATTATATGGGTGAATACATGTACACAAATTTAAGCCAAGCAGATAAAACAGTATACATTCAGCCTATGCAGGAGTATTTTACAGGTCTTCTTATTAACTCCTGGAAGTAGTGGGAGACAGAAAAATTCATGTCTCTCCCTTTCTCAGGCACCAGACTGCAAGGGACTGTTGGTGCATATTAATTTCACGGTAAACTGTGTGCTTGGAATTGTCACAAATGCTGTCCCTGGAGAGCTATGGTTATTTGTCTCGTAATAGTCTCTCATGATTTTGTGACTACTATACAATACTACTTCATCAACAAATGCTACGGTTACTTTTAAATTAGTAAACAAACACCGTAAGGATCCTTTTGTATCCCTGATGCAGCTCAGCTTACGTGGCACCGCGCACATCCGTGGAGCTAAAGTCTTTCTCCTCTTCTTCCCTACTCCAAAAAAAAACAACCTAAAACCCAGAATGGCCTCATCCACACGGCTTATTAGGAACAGTCCCAGGCCCATGCTTGTTCCCAGACTGTGCTCAGACATTGTTCGGGATGGTGCTAATTGGTCAGGGTCAAAGCGGTTCCAGGGACTGTGCTAGCAATTAGCAGCACATTCACTTGCACATACTCAAGCCCATAAGCTGTGATCTAGCACAGGACCATCCTGTCTCTGCTGCCAAAGGCAGCTCCTGAATTTGGCACCCTCCTTTGACACATTCAGTTAATAAGGTGGCATCTTCAAATTCCAGCTGCCGTGGGCTACCTCTGTGCTTCCCCCACCCAGAGAAGAGGTAGCAGGGAGAGTAGAAGTTCAAAGAACTGGGTCATGTGAAATATAGGAGCCTTCACGTGCTGCCCAAACCACTGACACTATCCCTGACAATGGAAGACAGACACAAAGCTGGATCTACCCAAAAGATCTTCAACTGAACTACGATAATCCGCCAGCTGATACAAAGCAGAAAGACACAGAAAATTTACCTCTGTTTGCCATGGAGCCCTCAAGGGCAACGAGCTTCACTGAACCACTGGTGCCTTTGAACAGCTATAAACTGTTCCTCTGCTTCCAGAAATTTCTCCTTGCTAAAGCACCAAAAAAGAGAAAAGTTTGGATTAGATTAGTAAATCTGAGTTGGTGTGAATACTGTCATCAGTCACCTATTGGACAAAGGCTTTAGACAACAGAGAAAAATTAATGAATTTTGTGGGATGCAGATATTCTCACTATGTCTTATCTGCATGTGACTGAAGTTCTAGTGTCAGGTAACGTGAATCTGATAACCAATACAGCTGGAAAAAAAAAAAATCACAGAAAACTTTGGGAAACAGTTTTTCAACTGTTTCTCTCAAAATCCCTGAAGAAAAACTGGTAAGTTCAAAAGTTTGGAGCATTTGCCACCTGCACTTAACAAAAGACACCCCAATCCCATATAAGCCATTTCAATTCATCATTGCTACAAGATTACTCCTGTTGTCTGTCTTACTACAGCCGACTTTGAACATATTCACTAATGATTGAAAAATTAATTTTACATGGTCCTGTCTGTAAAACCCACCAAATTCGTAAATCACTGTCATTATTGGGTCTCCGTATTATGCTGTCCAGACAGATTTTTCCATTTTCTTCTTTTTCTGCAGCATTGTTGTTGTTTTGAAAGGGAAAGGAAGTATATACTTTCATTTTCCCATAATTCAGAAACATTCAATGGGAAGAAAGCATAGAAAATTACATATATAGAGTGGAAAGTTTGAATAGGATGACTTGCAGTTACCTAATAAAAAGTCTATGAAGTAATGGCTCTAGGTCTGGCATTTCACTATAATTACATAATACAAGGCTGTTGTTTGTTTGTTCTCACTGGAAACTAATGCTCTGTTGATTTGATACTGTCAAAGACATTTGCTGTAAGTTTGTTTAGCATTTTATTAGAACTATTTTTCCATTTCCCTTTATTTAGGGCACAAAAATACTGAATTTACTTGCTTGTGCAGAATTTTTGTATCTGACCCTGTCAAAGTGTTCTGTCAAAACTGAGCACAAGACTTGCTTCTCCTGGAGGAACACATAAACAGTTAGTCAAAACCGACAGGGTTTTCCTCCAGTTGGAATGACATCACTTTTTATCCTTTCTTTAACAAACTTCTAAATATTTTTTCAGTTTTTCAGTAAAATTGAAGCCAAAAATTTATCTAAGCTTTTTTTGAAAATGTCATCAGATTTTTAAGATAAAGAGAATTAGAGAATTTTAGGGATACCATCTTTTTTCACCCCCACAACCAAAACCTTTTCAGTACTTCACAATGTTGCAGATCCTACTGTAACATCATGTGTTTTTGGAAACTTCATTTGAGCTTTTGGCACTGAACATAATCATACTTGACTCTTGATTTATAGCAACCTCTCTTCTTTAATCATGTCCACAGCACTGTAATTCTTCCAGGGCCTAAGTACTGTTATTTACTTGCTGTTCATGGTTAATACTGTCTACTCTTTTATATGGTTCCGAATCATGGGTCATCTACCGCCACCACCTGCGACTCCTAGAACGCTTCCATCAGCGCTGTCTCCGCACAATCCTAAACATCCACTGGTCAGATTATGTGACCAATACATCTGTTCTAGAACAAGCAGCAGTCACAAGTATTGAGGCCATGTTGCTGAGAACACAGCTGCGTTGGGCAAGACATGTCTCAAGGATGAAGGACCACCACCTCCCTAAGATCTTGCTTTATGGTGAACTTGCCACCGGCTGCCACAAGAGAGGAGCCCCGAAGAGAAGATACAAGGACTCCCTGAAACAACATCTCAGTCTTGGCCATATTGATCATCATAACTGGTCTACTCTGGCCTCCAATCGGGAGGTCTGGAGACACACCATCTATAAGGCTGCAGATGCTTTTGAGAAAGCACACAGGATCACTCTTGAGGAGAAAAGACAGCGCAGAAAGAACTGTGTCTTGCAGAATATACCACCTAAGGAGTCTTTCTGCTGTGCCTTTTGCAATCAGGTATGTCTATCTCCTATTGGCCTCTTTAGCCACCAGCCTGCTTGTAACAAATGTGGATAGAGCCTTTCCCAAACCTTTGTTCATGAAGCCTAGCCATGAACAGAACACATGATGGTTAATGTATTAAAAATACAACTCTAAGAGACATGGGGTGTTGCTAGCCTTCCTTGCTTGAATAAAGGAAATAAGGCCGGAATTGTTTTCAAAACAGAACAGAGCTCCTAAAAGAAGAGTAAGAAGACTAAGTATGTTAAAAACAGTGCTTCCATGTCTTTGTACAGAGTGCACCATTTTGTCTGTGAAAAATAATGGGAAAGAATGGGGCGAGAAATACTTGTCTCCACATCCCCCTTCCCCTTCCTCCACCCCCCCCTCCCCCTCCCGTTCCTAGACAGGAGGTCTCCAGGCACTGGGGACACCCGTGCCCAGGAGTCACCAGCCAGCCCAGACATCTACCCTCCCTTGGGCTTGTCCCCTGCCATTAAGAATCATAGAATGATAGCATTAATTATTAAGGGGTTGGAATGGACGCTAAAGATCATCTAGTCCCAACCCCCATACGATGGGCAGGGACATCTCCCACTAGACCAGACTGCTCAAGGCTTTATCCAACCTGGTCTTGAACAGCACCAGGGTTGGGGCATCCACAACTTCCCTGGGCAACCTGTTCCAGTGTCTCACCACCCTCACAGTAAAGAGTTTCTTCCTAACATCTAACCTAAATTTCCCGTCTTTCAGTGTGTACCCATAAAGAAGATGGTGTCATGGTGTCACAACCAAAGCTGCCACAAAATGTTTCTCTCACAAACGTGTGGCTGAGGAAAAGCGGCGTCTGCGCCCAAAACACGCGAACGGCTCCTCCCAGGGGCTCAGGGTATCAGGCCTGCCCTCCCTCCGTGCCAGCAGCCCTTGTCGCTCCTGCTTGTGCCCAGCCCTCTCCCCATTCCTCCCCGTCCCCCTCCCCGTTCGCCCCTCCCACCGCCTCTTTCCGGCCTCGCCTTCGCGTTTCCTGCCGGGGCGGAGGAGGTTTGTCCCTGCGGCGCCGCCGTCTCGCAGCGGCTCCGCTCAGCGTCATGGCGCTGTCTCTCTCAATGTCAGCGGCCCTGAGGCGCCTCCTCGCCTGGAGCGGTGCGGCCGCGGCCCGCCCGCCGCCGCCCAGGTAACGGCAACGCGGCCGCCCTGCCGCCCACACGGCAGGCACCGCGGCACCCCAGTACCCGCGGGGGCCGGAGGAACCCGTCCCCGGCCTGGGGCTGCACCGCGGCCGTGCCGGGCCGGGGGGGCTGCGCAGGGCCGGGCCGCGGGCGGGGGGCGGCCAGGCGGGCGAGGGGCAGAGTCTTCCTACGTGTCTGTCCGTGTCCGGCTCTACGTGTCTGGGTCTGGCCGTGAGTGTCCTTGCCGCCCGGCTAGCGGTGACCGCCCGCCCAGTGTCCTTGCGGCGCCCGGAGGTCGAGAGCTGGTGACAGGGCCTCATTGCCGAGGAGCCTCCCCTCGACAGCAGCCCTTCTCCGAGATTTGCACCCCACTGTCCTGTTCTCTACCCTGTAGCCTTTCCTCTTTACCCCCTCCTGCAAATACGTTACCTCTTTATGGGGGTGCATAGCTATTTCTTCACTGATCTCCTAAAAATAATGCTGAAAATAGGTGTATAGTTTTTGGTGGCTCATTGTTGTTTGTTTCTTTAATGCAGAGGTGTGTGTTAAAAGGCCAGTACATGACCTAACCTGCAGTCGAAGATGCATGTGTATGTTTCCTGCTGTGCATCTCACAGGACTTAGGCTTCTGTAAGACTCCCTTCTGACAGCAAGAAATAAAGTAGTTCAATGCCATTAACTGTGATTTGGAGTGTTTGCTTTTCAGTGCTACTCGGATCTCTACATATAAACACAAGTTAGTTTCAGTAATTTTATTTAAATCTGTGGGTGTCTTTATAAATATATGTATGTGTGTGTATATATAAACACAGAGAAAGCTATATATGCACACACAGAGAAAAAAGAAGTATAACCATATTATTTTTTGACATTTTTGTCCCATTAATTCCTTCTAGCTTTTCCTTTTTAAAATGGGACCTGTTTTATGGCATTGAAAGTTAGGTCTCAGTCTCCTAAATATGCTGTTGAATCTGTGAGTATGAATTTTGTAATTCCTCTATGCTAATGCAGAAACTTACTGTTCATGTTCAACTGCTTGTTTTTGCCCATCTCTGTGGTTTTGACAGAACTGCTGCCTGTGCCATGTGGTAAATTGGGTCAGTCACATGATTCATGTTAAAAATAATTCTGTTCATTTGTTTTAAAGTTTTACCACTGTGTTGAAGTAGTTATTTCAGAAAAGATAGTAGGGTGTAGCAGGGGTGGGTATGAACAGCATGGAAATGTGAGGTAGGAACTCCTAAATAGGGATTTCTTTTTTGAAACAGTGCCTTAGGTTCCTTCCCTGCCACAGAGGGAGTAGAAGAATTAGTGTCCCTTAGTGCTTTTAGTAAGAGGGATGTTGAAAATACTCCAGACCTGAGAGGGAATGGAACTTATGCTTCACATTCCATAGGAGAGTGGCCTTATCATGAATCAGGGGGTTTCTTGGAGAAGCGGGAGAGAAGAACATTATGAGTTTGTCTTACTTCGAGTTTTACACAGCTTTGCAGTCATTGCTTGTTGGAAGAGGGAGAATAAAGTTTTTTGTGGATTGAGGAAAAGACATTTCAAAGTAAAGTACTCTTGGCACTATGAAGGAATGGTGGCGGCTGTCAGTCATTGCATAATTTTTGTAAAGTAATTATTTTCTTGATTAAGTAGGCGTGAAACTTAACATCTTTCGTCTTGTCCATTACTGTTTTGTATGAAAAGAATTCTTAACCAGCCTCTGTAGTCTCCCTCCTTGGGAGTGAGAATCAGTGTGTATAATTACAGAAAAGGATTTAGGGCTCTACATTATAAATTCAAGATGTCTTCCTTTACTCACAGTGGGGTAATAAAATTAGATGGAAGTGCATGGGAGAAAGTGCATATCTTGCTTTTGTGCTTTGTCTTACTTCTTGTAAGCCAACTTTGGGTTTGTTTTCCATTGTTAGATGCCATAACCTTTCTTAGGGAGCATGTAATCGCTTGTATTTTACCAGAAATCTAGATAAATTTCAGTGTACAAACAGATACCTCAAAGTTTGGCAGTTTATAAGTCCCATTTCCAGCTTTAGTGTCTCACATCTCCCAACCTCACACAGTTGAATCTTACTCTAGAAACTACTTATTTTCCAGTTACAATGATCAACAAGTGTCCAAAAGCTAGTGGTTTGCAGCATATCTTGCAATTGGATATATGGATCCTGAAATACTGGTTTCCTTTCAGAAAAGTATTTTGACAGATACAGTTTGGTACAAGTAGCTTCTTTGTTTCAGAGTATATTTAAAGTATTTGTCTGTCTAATTTATTATTGGAGTAATCTATGTATTTGTCAAACTGTAGAAAGAATGTACTATACCAGTATGCTAGATGTAGGTCTTAAAGAAAATAAAGTAAATAAAGGCATTAGAATTACTAACAATAAAAATGGTTGCTGTTCTTAGGCCATGACTGAAGAAGATGCTGGATTTGTCACCTGTGAGGGCATTTGAATGATTCTTACATCGCTTCAGCAGTTTGCTTTTGTTTACTTAGATTCAGAGTAAGGTTTGGTTGGTAAAACTTTGTTAAGCTACAGTTGCATGTTTTTTGCCTAAATTAGGTTATGAGGGGAATATAGCTTATTGTTTGAACACTGTAGGATTAAATTTTAAACCTTCAAGATATAGTTTTATTTGCAGTGGGGTTTTTTTTCTGATTTTTGCATGTAAAACTTCTCATACCTCTCCAGTTTTCAGAACTTCAATTAAATAATAATATGTCTTCCCTCTGATTTTGAAAAGAATTCCCAAGATCACTTTTCAAGAGTTACAAGAGAAATTCCATTCTAATTTTCATGAGCAATATTTGATTCTTAGAAATTTTATGACATCTTCTAATACTGATTTTTCAGTACATGTTTAAGCACTTTAACATATGCATGCCCAAGCCACCTGCTGATTATAAACTGGTGACTGGTAACACAACATGGGAATAAGTGTTTGGTCCAAAGTTAAGAGAATGTACAGCAACATTCCTTGTATTTTTATGAAGTTCTGAGTGCCGGTTTAAATCAGTTGTGCAGTGGTTACTGAGCCCCTCATTTTGTCTGGTGGTGAGCCTAGCAGACATCAGCACCTGGCTTGAGCTCATTCAGAAAGCAGAAGTGCATCCTTAGCCTAAGTCACATTTTTAAGCTTTCATGTTGTAAGATCTATCAAGGTTTCAGGAGCTTGAAATTATGTTGAACACGCTCTCTGGAGTTTGACCTAAAAACTGCAGTGTTTTCTTGTATTAGAAAATACAGACAGGTGAAGCTGGGAAAAGAAACTTCAAACAAATTTCTGCTGTCCTGGGAATCAGATGTTTGTTTCAAAACCACCAGTATGTCAGAGAAGCCCTTTATATCACAATATAAAGCCCTTTATATCTGCAGTCAGAATATGGAGATATTAATTTCTGTTCCAGAAGCAGAATATTTTGTGTGTGCAGGTGTAATACCTGACAACGTGCTTTCTGCGTTTCACGATAATGGATTTTTCATGTCATTTTTCAGATGGTTCTCTAAAATATGTTACCTTCCTCTTGTAATTCTGTTTAAATATAATAGCAAATGTTTTATTAGTTTATCATGAATAGATACCTGAGGTTATGAAAGCAAATAATTATGGACACTTATGTAGTACAGAGCCTGTTATTCAATTCATACTCAAGAAACTGAAGAAACCTGGAATGCCATATAAGTCTCAGTTTTCAGTTAATGTCTATTTAAGCAAACTAACCCCGCAGTAAAAAAAGAGGAAGACATTTTTGTGGCAAAATAAAGAACTTATAAAACATAGCAAAAAAATGTAATTTTTTATCTTGTCCTTTCCTGAAAAGTAGAGACAATGTTTATTAACATTTTAAAAAAAAATTACTTCAAGATAATTAGCTTACTCTTTTGTGTTATTGTTTGGTTTGGTTTTTTTTTTTCCTTTCCTCAAATAATGTTGAGGTTTTCGTTGCATGTCCCTACCAAGTCATGCATTAAAACAGAGCTTAGTAGACTTCCCAGAGCTAGATCTGCATAGTACAGAGAGCTGTATGAAGATGAACAAATCTCTCACTGAACCTGGTTGATAGAAGCACAATTTGGCCAGTGTTAGTGCTAGCCAGTGTGAGATGTTTGTCAAATCTGGAATAAGTAGCATGTTGCAGCAGTTGTATTACTTATTACTTCATCCACCTGTAATGTGTGTCTCTTACGTACATTACTCCACACAATATATGAGAGTGTGTGTGGTGGTGTTAGGTTCAGAAGTTTCACATCAGAAGTTACAGTTTTCATTAATAAAAACCATAGTTCTGTAGAATTGAATGTTGTTAAAATTATTTCCAGTGAGATGTATCATCTGCATAGAGTGCTTGGAATAAAATTTGAAGATAACACCAGGTGAAGAAGTTTTTTGCAGTCTTGCTTTTGCTGTGTAAGTGGGGTTTATAGATAGTTTCATTTTGGTTACTCACAGAGGAAAAAGACCTTTTAAAATACATATTTGGCTGGAATTTTACCATTTTATCTTGACTATCTGTTTTGGTTTTAATATATATCAGAGAAGCTACAGTGAATCACACTAGCTTACAACACAGTAGCACAACTGAAATCTGGAATGAAATTCCAGCGTGTTTTTTGGACATAAAATTGTGGTGAAATGGAGAGTTGGAGCAGGCTCAAGATGAAAGATGTGGAGAGACAAATGGACATAGACAAGTGGAGAAAAAGACAAAATCTGCTACAGTTTGTACACTTACCAGGCATCAGTTTAAAAAACAAGACTCCAGGCAGCACTGAGTGTGTTTGTCTGATCTTGTAGATACCCTCAAGCAGTGGTTTGGGGGTAGGTGTTTCGTATGTCTAAGTGTTTAATTCATTTAAAATCCATTCCCTTTGACTCTGTCCACATTGTTCAAATAGTTATTTTGTGGTAAAGAGAGAGTCTAGGAGTCAAATCTTGCATGTTCACAGTGGCTGAAAGCAGCATCACTGGTTATGTGTTGCAGTCACAGGTCCTTTGATGACAGCCTGGTGTCTGGCTGTCATGAAGAAAGGCCTTCTTTCCCTATCAATTTTGCGTACTTTGAGGGAGAGAAGAGGATATTTCTGACAAGTAGGATGATTTGAGCCCTCTTGCAGTCCTTTATGTAGGATCTCAAAGTTGCTAATCTACCATGACTTGAATAGTTGCAACAGGACAACATACTGTCTTATTCTGGGCTTTTGTGTTGTTCATGGATATTCACCGTTATTAGGATGTCAGAGTGACTCTGGTGAACTGGAATGGTATCTTAGATTTCCTGCTTTTGCCTTCTCTGTTT